GCGAACGTGGGGGGTGCCGATCGCTCCGTGCTGAATGTATGGTTCGGCCCGAAACGTCGTATTTCGGGTTGACCACAAGTCAGCGCATCGTATCGCTCGGCTGCACGCACGATGTCCCTGTAGCTGTCGTAATTCGCCGCGATCACCTGCCGCCGAATCTCCAATTTTAAACTTTCTATGTACGCCTGGATTTTTTCGCCTTCGGTCAGGTCGGGGATGCGGGTGAACAGGAGCTCCATCTGCTGCGTGTACTGCGCTACACTACTGTACTGCTTGTGCCGATGAATTTGTTGCCGCGCCATGTAGGTTGTATTAATCGGTTCGAAACGCCCGATTAATTCTGCCCGAAACTGCGTCCACGTTTTCTCCCCGCGGGCCACGTCAGTGTTGTAGATCCACTCGAGTGCTGGTCCGCGTAACAGTGTCGCTGCGAGCCGGATTCGTGTTGCGTCGTGTGTCGGGGTCGAACAGCCAATGGCCTCGAAGTAAATTTTGAGGGTTGCCACGAAACGCCGGACGTCGGATCCCTTCGCGCTTGGATCGAACGCTTCCGGGAGCCTCGGTCGTGCTGCTTCGAGGTTCGGCGTCAGTGGTGCCATCGGTCCGTGAAAAGTCGGTGTCGCCACTGCTGCTGGAGTTGTCGGTGCTGCAGTCGTTGCAGTCGCTGCTGCTGTCGTGGCGAGCGCCGGATGGCTTGTCAGAAAAGCCTCGAGTCGACGAAGCGTCGCCTGCGTCTGCTCCATGTCGGTGCGGAGGCTCGCGACGTCGCTCGTTGTCGCGTAGTTGTCGCCCTGGCCTTCCATGCCTGACATTACGCGTCCGAAAAACCGAATCGAGGAGGAGCGGAAAAACACGGAACCGGTTTTACGTACCCGAAATCGATGTTTAACTGCGTCGCCCCCGCGGTTTTTTTAAGACTGGTTTTTAGCGGTCGAAAGAACTTCGCGTGTAAACGAGCTCTGATTACCAAGTGTGAGGATCGAGGATCGAGTTCAGAAATGAGAATGTAAATTGAATCATCAGCTGGGTACAACACGAGGCTATATATAGGCTCGACACAAGGGCCAGTAACCAGGTGTTACGAGAAGGTTCTGCGGGTCGCGAAGCGTCCTGAACAAACCCTTCCCGAATTCGGTAGAAAGCAGTTCGGTGGCAACCGAATAGCTCCGAATTCGGTGTAACCTAGCACGGTGCTTATAACTATAATAAAATATAGGAAAGCACCTAGCCTAGGAATCTATCAATTCATGCATGCAGAAATTAAACCTAAGCTAGCAGTAGCGTAAGGTAATAAAAGCAAGCATGAATAACAAGCATGAGCCGTCGTACTCTCACACCAGCGCGCAACATGTCACTGCGCCAACGTCTGGATGCCTTTTTTACCACTATTTCTTCACACAGTTCTCTACTACATCCTATTCCCTAGTCGTAGGAACTGATTTCATCTCGTTAGCACAACTACGCAGCTCGTGGCGCATGTATGTGCGTTTGCTGGCCTAAATCTGTGCGAGGATAGGCCGACATGCAACATGTCACTACGCCAACATTTGAATGCCTTTTTTACCACTATTTTTTCATATAGTTCTCTACTACATCCTATTACCTAGCCATAGGAACTGATTTCATCTCGTTAGCACAACCACGCAGCTCGTGGAGCATGTTTGTGCGTTTGACGGCCTACATCTGTGCGAGGATAGGCCTGCATGCAACATGTCACTGCGCCAATATTTGGATGCCTTTTTTACCACTATTTCTTTACACAATTTTCTACTACATCCTATTACCTAGCCATATGAACTTTTCATCTCGTTAGCACAACTACGCAGCTCGTGGCGCATGTTTGTGCGTTTGCTGGCCTGTATCTGTGCAAAGATAGGTCTGTTCCCAACATGTCACTGTTTCAACATCTGGGTGCCTTTTTTACCTCTATTTCTTCACACAGTTCCCTAGTACATCCTATTCCCTTGCCATATGAATTAATTGGAGCTTGTTAACACGACCACGCAGGTCCTGACGTTCGTTTGTGGGTTTACTGGCCTGAAACTGTGCAAGGGTAGGCCCGCTCGACACGTTATGCCAAACCAACGTCCATATGTAATTTGTAGTAGTGTTTTTTTTATATCATTCAACTATTTAATATTTTCTTGGCATGCTGGTCAGGTTTGGTGTCATTTGACGTGCTTGGTATGGAGATATAGTGTTCCAAACATGCGAGGATGGAGATATGTGCAAGGATAGGCCTGTGCTATAACGATATGCCAAATCAACGTCTGTTTGTATTTTTTGCAAATGTGCGAGGGAATTAAGAACCCACCAGACAGATCTCAACGATGCAACATTTAGCAGGACGATATGATGTTCCGAACATGAGAGCAGACAGATCAGTGCAAGGATAGGCCTGTGCAACACGCTGCACCAAATCAACGTCCGTATGTTGTTTTGAACAAGGTTTCATTTGATCATTCATGCATTTGCAGTATTCTTAGTGTGCTGGTTAGGTTTGGCGTCAATTGCAGCATCTGGCAGGTGGATGTGATGGTTTTAAAACTGTGCAATGATATAACTTTGCTATTACGTGGTTAAGAGTTTTAGTTTCGTCTATTACTACTCTTTTAATAATCATTAAAAGTGCATTTGGTTGCATACGATAACCCAGCCAAATAAAGTCAATCGTCGGTATTCGTATAGCCTGGCGTTGTTATATTAACATATGGAGTAATTTGTGAGACACGGATATTTTGGCATAAAATGGAGGGAGTCCACCAAAAAGGACAATAGGATCTACATTTTGCATGGTCGGGTATTAAAAACCACACAACATGTGTAATCAAAAGATAGAAATGTTTTTAAAGTAATGAAATCGTTTTTATCACTATGTTTTTTAGAATTAAGGGCGTATCTTGGGTTTGGGTCATGAGCACTGTTCCGGGCATGCGCTAATTGCGGATGCCCAGAACAACACGCTACACCATCCTCGAGTCATGCGCCCTATGCGACAGTTTGTTTGGCGCGCAAAACTCCGCGCCAGAAAAAAAAGTGGTAACACACGTCGTGTCCAATTGGGCCGAGTCGTACATGTGCAAACACGAACAACCAACAGCCGTGAGGCCGACTGACCCCTCCCACGCCACCGTCAAAATTCCCGGCGGGAAGGGTCACATTCAGATCTGCGCGGCTCCAAAACCCATCCAAACCCATCTTCCCAACAGCAGCTTCCCCACTCCAGGGTTTCAGCATGCAGAACATCACAAGCAATACAAACAACCAGATCTGTGAGAGACACACACAGCCGACGAGCACCAAGAGACACAAAACCCAGTCTGCCAACGGACAGATAGAGCAGCCATGCCGCCACGCCGTAGCACCCGTGGTAAGGGAAAGGAGAAATCAACTGACGATGAGCCGATGGCGGACCCTCCTTATGTCGCTTGGTTAAAGGAGCAGAAGAAACAGGGGAAGTCGCCCCCCTCCATCAAACGTTTATCCAAGTCAAAGTGTGACTCTGGTGGCGCGTCTACCAGCGGGGCGTCACGGCTTGCTTACGAAGATGGCGCCGATACCGACGTCAGCGATGACGATCTCGAAGAGATCGTCTCCGAATCGGAAAGCGACGCCGACTCCGATAATGACAAGGACGGCACGGACGAGGAGGATGAAGAGTCCGACGGCGAAGGGAGCGGCGACGATCGCAGCACACGAGCCTCGAAGAAGGAGAAGCGACCTAAACCGTCGAGCAACAAGAGGAAGTGGTCGGATGCGGAGCTGATGACGCTCGCTGCCGCCAAGTGGACTACAAAGGACGATCTCAAAGCGGTGCAGGGCAAGCAAGGAAGCCAGTATTGGAGGAAGCTGCACGCCCACATAGTCGAAGGGGAACCGGGGTGGAACCGCGACGAGGGGCAGATGTCTAATGCGTGGAAACGCCTCGAGAAGCAGTACTTCAAAACGAAGCGTGGAGAGTCGGCGAGCGGCGGCAAAGCCGTGAAGAAAAAGCCGTGGTGGGAGTACGTGTACAACCTGAAAAAACACTCGGCCAAGGCTAAGGCCCACGCCTTGGATGGCGGTGGCGTCGCCAACGCCGACGTTGAGGCGTACGCCCCAGTGCCCGGCACCAATGACCGGGAGACTTCGGTTCCGCCGGCCCAGGCGCAACAGCGTGCACCTCGTCGCCGCGAAACTAACATAGGTCAGTGCTCCGCACTTTCACGCCTAATAAAATCTAGCTGACTTAGACCTTTAATCAGGCCGTGCGTTTACCATGTTGAAGGCGCGGCCAGTAGTGCTGCGTGTTTCTTATACATCACATGCTCGGTGAGTTCCGGTTCTTATAGATAGATTGCATTGATACACTCCACATAGTACATGGAAACAACGATCAGCAAAGCCGCCTTATGACCCATACACCCTATTCCCACCCCTACAGATTCGGCAATCACCCCTCCACCGAAACGACGGCGGGTACAAGAGACAGCGACAATGGCGGCAGCAAAGTTGGTGAGCGACGCGATCAACTCCACCAACGTGAACGTGGTGCGCCAGCTCCAGGACTCAACGCAGGTTCTGGTCGCCGCGATGAACATGGCGGCGCTGCAGGCAGGTTTGCGCCTGCAGATGGTCGCCCCGCAAGCTCCTCAAGATGCGCCTGCCACCACTCCACCTCCAGAGCCGACGGCGGAGGAAGGCGACGCCACCATGGCCGGGTCAGAGGAGGTGGGCGAGCAGCCAGCGCCTTAGCGCTGAGACTTCGGCACACGGCGACGCCTCAGGTAAGCCCTGTGGATGAGCTTGCCAAAGTGGCGGCGTCGGGCGCGCAGCTCGGTAAGAGTCGGGTTGTCCAGGCTCTCCCATTGGTAGCGATCCATGCCGCTCCTCGTCCACCAGCCATTCGGTATCCCCGCCCATATGATGCGGCGGGGGTTGAACGTCCTCATCCTTGGTGTGCTGACCACCTGCAACATGTTGTGCAGGATGATGATGCAGGCGGTTCCTCCACACACGCGCTAGAGCTTGCTCTCGTGCCTGCGGGAGAAGAGCCTCCATCGACCTTTAAGTGCACTGATCGTGCGCTCCACCACCATCCGCGTCGCCGACTGGACGTAGTTGAACGTGTTCTCCCACTTCTTCATGAGGCGGCGGCGGGGAGCATGGAGGGGGGTTAGCATGTATGACTTCGGTGGGTATGCCGCGTCCCCAACCAGCTGATAGGGGGCGATTTCCCCACACTCTAGCCTGCCATGCAACTCAGAGGTAGAGAAAACTCCTTGATCATGCATGGACACGGGATTGCCCACCGTGTAGTCCCAAATGATGCCTTTAGAGTCACATGTAACCTGTAGCTGAACATTGTAGACAGATTTGCGATTGTAGTAGTCGCTGCGGTGAGCATCCAGGCCTCGTATCTCGATGTGTGTGCCGTCGATCGCTCCGATGACGTTGGGCACAACTTTGACGGCGCGAAAGTCCAGCGCCATCTCCTCACGCACCTCTTCAGCAGGAAACTGAACCCAGTCGCGCTTGAATTTGCGGGGGAACCAGACCAAAAAGCAGTCCACAATGCGATGGATGAGACCCTTGGGCAAGCCGAACATGAAACTCATGTCGTGATACGTCATTCTACTGGCAAAATACTTAATGGGGATTAGGCAACAGAGTGATAAGGGGACTTGGTTGAACTCGACGAAGCGGGACATGGGGTGCGCCATCTTTTCCGCGATGAGGTCGAGCACCTCCCGCGTGATACGGAAGGTGTCTTCGAATTCTTCGTCAAACATAGCGCGGATTTCCTCCACCCACTCCGCCACACGTGCCTCTCGACAGCGTTTCCGACTTTCTCGGCGCGCAGTTTCATGGCTTTGACGCTCCTCATCCTCTGCTTGGGCCATCGGTAGGAGAGTGGTAATCCACTCAAGAGCGGCGAGGGATACTACACGCTGCCAGGTGTTGAGAAGGTACTCATGCCAGAGGTGTAATGCCACACATAGTATGAGTACCTGTGGGGTAAGCATGGTTTATGGCCACGGTGCGTAAGGCCCTTTAGAGATGGTTTGATCACGGTGGCTCGGCTGCATCCTTGCTGGCACAGCTGGCGACACGGGCGTGGCGATGGCCGTGCTTGTATACAGGGCGGTCTGTGTGTATCTGCGTGCGGTGTGCTTGACGGGCTTCTGGTTGTTGTGATTGTTCCGGTGGAGTAGTTGGGCTGTTTTGCAAGATTGTGGTGTAATTGCCACATTGACGGGCGTGCACCCCGCGCGAACGGCAGCATACAGAGGGGTTGTTTTACATGGGGTCGCATAGCACTGTGATTGGTGGAGGGTACATTTTGTTTGACGGTCGCATGCAATTTTAAGCATGACCCGAGGTTCGAATCGCGCGCGCTTTGGGGAGGGGGTTTGGGTCATGCGCTAATTGCGGATGCCCTGTACAGTAGTATGAACAGTGCTCATGACCCAAACCCAAGATACGCCCTAAATAGCGAGATCTTAAGAGAGCTTGACCTTTTGAACTTTTCGCATGAGAAGGGATATTACACAGCATCAATATGTTGGAAATGCCAACGCGTGGACACGTCACACTGCCAACTGCTGTCAAAACGCTGAATTTAATGGCCAATAAGAGCCCGTTGCAGCATTCCAACGCACACAAAACACTATCGGTGGCCAATCAGGAGCCGCAACAGCGAGCCAGCGCCTTAAAACCTAGTCAAGTTCATTGGGTCACCCTGTTGCTGGATAGGAGTCACGAGTGTCACGCTCACAAGTTGCCGCGTGGCTGATTAAGTGTGGCTCAGCGAGGTGCAATGTACCCAGCTGGCTTGTTATGCCGTGCATTTTCAAGCCGAATTGCCGAGCTGTAATCTCGAAGATTCCACTTCAGTGTCGTGCTGTAACCGTAAAGATTCCTTCTGGATGGTCTCGATCAATCGTTACCCACCTTGGTCAGCACACCTAAGCGCTATCTCGAAGATCTGACGGTCACAAAGGTTTCGGCTGGCTGCATTCAGAAACAGCTTTGCGCAGTCACCGTCATTTGACGTCGAGGAGCCGTGGAGCTGGCAGGATGCCCGACGCGCAGGCGGCGTGGTTGCGCGAGCTCGCGGAAGCTGACCAATCAAAAGCTTCGAACTTGTGGACGTGGGTACAGTTTTTGCTGACATCGCACCCGCGACCTAAGAAACTCAGGATAAACTTTTACGTGCTGAATAACAGAACGCTAACTCATAGGATTGCTAGATATGACCCATGTTTAGGCCACTTTGGTAATATATTGTAATTTACGATGGGGGAAGTGGAGAACACCAATCACCGGGCAGGCAATGGGCTGACCAAAAGTGTGCAGGGAATGCAGGAGGAGCAGGAGGGGGTCACGTTAGAATCTCCATTTGCAGCATCAATGACAGAAGCTCAAGCTGATGAGCTCGTGAACAGCCAGCGAACTCTCTACGAGCAGGCTCTCAAGCGACGTGAGTCCATAGCTAACGCTTCCAAGAAGAAGTGTGTTCACGCGCTCTCAGGTGTGCCACCTCCTAAGAAAGGTGGCCGCTCCGCCAAGCCCGCTAAGAACAACGGGAAGAAGAAGGGCAAAAAGGGTGGAGGTGAAGCACGTGAGGCAGATAACTTACCTGATCCCAAAACTACGTAGGAGCCGCCTGTGCCAGAGTCTCACGGTGGCCAACCGACGGGCGTGACTTTCCTTCAGCAGCTTCACGCCAACTCTCAACTGGACCCACCTCCGCTCACGAGTTCTCAGCAGCAGCAGGACCTGCACATCCTCGCTGACGCAACTACTGGCGCACTGGGTGGAGAAGTTTTAACGGATAACCGGCCCGCCTTCGACAAGGAGCTAGACGAGGTGCAGGATGAACAGCAAGATGAGGAAGAAGAAGAGGAGTTCGATGATGATAACTTTCAGCAGCAGCAGTCTGCTCAGCAGCAGCAGCAGCCTGCTCAGCAGCAGCAGTCTACTCAGCAGCAACAGCTTGCTTATCAGCTGAGGTCCGCTCAGCAGCAGCAGCCTTATCAGCAGCAGCAGCTTGGTCAGCAGCAGCAGCAGCCTTATCAGCAGCAGTAGCTTGGTCAGCATCAGCAGCTTGGTCAGCATCAGCAGCTTTTGTCAGCATCAGCAGCTTGGTTAGCAGCAGCAGCTTCGTCACCAACAGCAGCTTGGCCAGCAGCAGCAGCTTGGTCAGCAGCAAATGGCGCTCGGTGACGGAAATCCCGCCGTCACCGGCGGAGCTCGCTCTGAAGGTGGGTGCTTCCCTTCGTTACTTTGCCAATGTCACTCTTCTTTTGTTTTTGCTCGTGTTTTGCAACATCGTACTGACTCTTGGTTCTCTTTTTTCCAGGCATAGGCGCGCACTGGTGCAGGAAGAATCGCCATCGGCAGGCGGTAGTGGAGGATTTCCAGCGTACTATCGAGGTCCTGGAGCTTCGTCTAGCGAAACCAACCAGAAATTCGTCGCCGCCGAGGCCGAGAGCGAGGCTCTTCGTACCCGCGTGGCTGAGCTCAAGGCGGAACTGGCGGTTGGCGTTCCAGAGAAGTCTCCTGACAACCCCGTGGTCAACATGGATGTGCTGACCAAGGACAAGGATGGCAACGTCATCTTGAAGACAAGCCTCCTTCCCAAGGAGTTTTCGGTGAGTAACAATCTGCTAAAACCGTATATTTGTCATTGTTCTTTGTTGTGTTAAATCATGTTTTATTCGATAGTGTTGTTTCTGGTTGACACTACCTTCTACCTGCCCGCTTATGAAGTTTTATTTGTTTCCCATGTCTGCTGCAGACTAAGGTGCTGGAGACCTGCACTTGGCTGTCAATAGACGCTCCCGTGGAGCAAATGGAGTTTTTCCCTACCTGGGAAATGTTCCAGCCGCATCTCATAGTGAAGTACCGACTTTGTGGAGTCAATCACGACGAGTACTTCTTCGCAACAGGTGGCAAGATTGAGTACGAAAAACTGGCGATGAAGGTAATTAAGACAAAGCGCTCGAACACGCACAAGAAAATTCACGTTTATGCTTGGGGTGAGGGTGGGTTGGTGGACGAGAGTAGGTGGTCTGAGCTTGCTGTGGAGATGATAATCCCCTCGAAGAAACGGACGTATGTGAAGTGGCTTGAGGACTTTAGGTACGGTGAATTAATGAGGCTTTTTTGTGTTGTTTTGTATTGTACACCTCACAAATCTTTTTCTTGCTTCCTGTGCAGCTGTGCTTGAGTACGCCTGCCACGTTAACAGCAAAGGTGTCCCCTTCACCAACATTGCTTTTGAGAAGGTAGCTTTGGCTGGGTTCTCCTGTGCGACGTCCAACCTGGTGCTCGCGAAGATTCATATGCTGGCGTATCTCTGTGTCGTGGTAAGTATTTGCTTTCCTACTTGTGTAAATGCGAACATGTTTTAACCACGTGTGCATGATTCTTACCAGCCTTCCCTCGGGGGGGTTCAGGCGAACAATAGCAACTATGTCCGCACGAAAACCAATGTGGTCATGGCGGCCCTGTCAGGAACACTAGGAGTGGGGCCTAGGCTTAGTAGCCTAGGCCCACACATAGAGTAGGTAGGTTGTGCCCTAGAGCTAGGGTTTGGGGTATACGAAGGAGAGTTAGAGAAGAGGAATGATGGAGAATGATTGAACTAGCAAGCAGGTTGGTACAAATAGGAAACCCTAAAGGGGTTGTACTCACTATTGAGCACCCCACTGCAGGCTAGACAAATAACATAATCTGACACACCCCCATAGCCAAAGTGGGGTGTAATCAGCACAATCAGCAGTCACAGCAAAAGTTCACAATTATCAGCAAAGCTAGAGGCTATCACAGAGGGCAAGTGAGGAGGAGGAGGAACTGTGAAGGGAGAGAAGATTGGAGACGACGACTGAAGCTGCAGACACACAGGCGCAGCAGGCTCTCTGAGCTACCGGACTACAGGTGCTGCAGCCTCCTCCAACTATCCCACCCCCCTACACACATCCCCTGTTTCACCTCTAGCTCCACTCCCACATCACCCCCCTAGCGCCACTCCCTTCGGCTCCCACACCTCCACCCCCCCTCAGCGGCAGCTGCAGCAGTGGGAGACGAAGGAGGAGGAAGGGACGACGCACACGGAGCACCCCCATACCTGTCACCCCCACACTCCTGTCCTGGGGACCGGGGGGGGGGGGGGGGGCGGCAGAACAGAACAGAGCGCACGAGGGCGCGGGCAGCAGCAGGGCGCACGAGGGCGCGGGCAGCAGCAGAGCGCACGAGGGCGCGGGTAGTAGTAGAGCGCACGAGGGCGCGGGCAGCAGCAGGGCGCACGAGGGCGCGGGCAGCAGCAGAGCGCACGAGGGCGCGGGTAGTAGTAGAGCGCACGAGGGCGCGGGTAGTAGTAGAGCGCACGAGGGCGCGGGCAGCAGCAGGGCGCACGAGGGCGCGGGCAGCAGCAGAGCGCACGAGGGCGCGGGTAGTAGTAGAGCGCACGAGGGCGCGGGCAGCAGCAGAGCGCACGAGGGCGCGGGTAGTAGTAGAGCGCACGAGGGCGCGGGCAGCAGCAGGGCGCACGAGGGCGCGGGCAGCAGCAGAGCGCACGAGGGCGCGGGTAGTAGTAGAGCGCACGAGGGCGCGGGCAGCAGCAGGGCGCACGAGGGCGCGGGCAGCAGCAGGGCGCACGAGGGCGCGGGCAGCAGCAGAGCGCACGAGGGCGCGGGTAGTAGTAGAGCGCACGAGGGCGCGGGCAGCTGCTGCAGAGGTCCAGGGGCGGCTGCTCCAGGGGCCAGAAGCGGCTGCTGCCGGGGCGGCTGCTCCAGGTGCCAGGGGCGGCTGCTGCAGTGGCAGGCGGCTCCAGGGGCGGCTGCTGCAGTGGCGGGCGACTCCAGGGGCGGCTGCTGCAGTGGCGGGCGGCTCCAGGGGCGGCTGCTGCAGTGGCGGGCGACTCCAGGGGCGGCTGCTGCAGTGGCAGGCGGCTCCAGGGGCGGCTGCTGCAGGGGCGGCTGCTCCAGGGGCGGCTGCTGCAGTGGCGGGCGGCTCCAGGGGCTGCTGCTGCAGTGGCGGGCGGCTCCAGGGGCGGCTGCTGCAGGGGCGGCTGCTCCAGGGGCGGCTGCTGCAGTGGCGGGCGACTCCAGGGGCGGCTGCTGCAGTGGCGGGCGGCTCCAGGGGCGGCTGCTGCAGTGGCGGGCGACTCCAGGGGCGGCTGCTGCAGTGGCAGGCTTCTCCAGGGCGGCTGCTGCAGTGGCGGGCGGCTCCAGGGGCGGCTGCTGCAGTGGTGGGCGGCTCGAGGCGCGGGCTGGTCTGGCGCAGTCCGTACGGGCCGCGCGCGGGCCTGGCGCAGCCCGTACGGGCCGCGCGCGGGCCCGACGTAGGTCGCGTGGGCCACGACGGGCGACGGGGGGCGACGCGCGGAGTGACGGGGCAGAAAGCCGCCGCGCGCCTCGGGGCGCACGGCGGGCAGAAAACCGCCGCGCGCCTCGGGGCGCACGGCGGGCAGAAAACCGCCGCATGCTCCGAGCGTGCGGCGGGATGAACAAAAAAAATCCGTCGCACGCCACGGGGCGTGCAGCGCATTGAGTAGCAGTAGCAGCGGAAGCAGTAAGGTGGTGGGCCCATTGAGGTAAGCATCAGGAACGTGCTCGCTCTGATACCATGTCAAGAACACTAGGAGTGGGGCCTAGGCTTAGTAGCCTAGGCCCACACATAGAGTAGGTAGGTTGTGCCCTAGAGCTAGGGTTTGGGGTATACGAAGGAGAGTTAGAGAAGAGGAATGATGGAGAATGATTGAACTAGCAAGCAGGTTGGTACAAATAGGAAACCCTAAAGGGGTTGTACTCACTATTGAGCACCCCACTGCAGGCTAGACAAATAACATAATCTGACAGGCCCTTCATCAGGCTATGACGAACAACCCCAGTTGCCTGCAGCGTGATGAACCGAACGGGTTGGTGCTTGGTTCTGGAAAGGTGCGGATTCTGATTGAGGGGTGGGAGCGTGTGTTTCTGTACTGTATTGTCTGTTAGGTGTAGTGTCTGTAGACTGTGTAGTGTCAGTGTAGTGTCTGTAGTATCTCTGTAGTATCTCTAGTGCTAATTGTAGCTAGTGGTTTGTAATAATTTGTAGTTAATGATATTTTTTAGCGGCTGTTATTGAGTAATTAGCATTATTAATTATATACGAATGAGCTTATTTCGATAATTGGATATTTAGGTAACCAGTTGTTACTGCACTTTTACGGTTCTTGTTACCAGGTTACGAACACAAATAATAAACTCTACGATAACCGTCACAAACATTATATGTTTACACTCCACCGAAGTGTATTTAATGTTACTGTAACCAGGTGGTAACAGACGCGCCCGAAGAATTTTCGTTTTGGCAGATTGACGACCCTAAACTATCGTTTGAGTTCCGTACCTCCCCCAACTCGCCATAAATTTCGGGCGGTGTGGGTCGCGGTTGACTCCTCACCTCCTGTACCGCTCAAATCTCGCCATTCGCGAACCATCGTATACTACCTGTCGAACCCAATCAACCACAAATTACGCTCGACACTGTAGCTGAACAACGAGTCGTATATGATGCTTCGGACCTCCCTCCGTTTTCGATCACCAAGCGCAATACCCTTAGTGGTTTGTTGCCCTCACCCTAAATCACAGTCATCACAGCACAAAGGAGACATAGGAGGGCGTTTACGACCTAAAACGCGCCCTACATATTTTGACGCACCCTACACGCCCTGACGCTCACGCTGGTGATCACGCCCTGATGATCACGCTATTGGTCAGGCACGAGCCAGCTATCTGTAGATTTCTCACCCACCTATCTCGATCGACGTCCCGCCGACGTGTCTTGGCATCCCGCTTGGCTTGGACACGCCGAGGCGACTAACATCCGTCGGATGACGGACGTGCTACATCGGATGGATATCATTAACCCCCCGAGATTCCCTAGTAGAGTTGTGTTGGCTCTTGACAGCAGTCAAGATGAGTGTTTTTGGACACGTGGTTGTTGGAGCATCACGGCTCACAACACAACCACCCAGTTCGAACAACTTTCAAATCCCTTCGGGTTTTCGGCTTTGAGCGAACAGCTCCTGTAAAAACCGTCTTTCTAGTGACTTTATCGATAACATCACAGATTTTACGACTTTCACTCTCGCAAGGAGTGCGATAACAAGGAAATCAGCTTCTGATTAGCCCATTTTCCTTTTTTGCATGTGTCAGGACAATTTAATCCACGTCAACCCTAAACTCATCGTCGCATTGTGTTTAGGAATGATGCCACCGAGAACATGCCATCCTTGAAAAGGGAATGGCAATCACCATGAACACCTTGTCGCATGGTGTTTAGGATTGATGCCCCTGAAAACATTCCAGTCGGGAGGAATTTAGACAGCCCTGCCTCCCTTCTGCGCAACTGGAAAACGGTGCGCAGTTGGGCAAATGAGAGACCGGCTTCCGTATTAGCGCACTAATGTTTCTGTGTGAGTTTGAAATTGTGGAAAGTGCGCAAAGTCCATTGAAAGACGGATCGTTACAGTACCCGTTCCTGCATTGCCTGTTGTGCTGGTGTTGTGGGTCAAGGACAATCGTGCAAGGCTGAAAACACCCCATCGTAACGTTTGTTGCCCAAGGACAACCGTACTGTGGTTGTCTGAGGACGGGTTACCTCCAAAATTTCCAGGGTCGAGGATGGTCGGCGCTGAACACCGACCGTAACAGGATCGGTCGGCACACCGAAGTGCCCAGACGCAATTTTGCGATTTCGGGGCGCCACCGAGCCACATGTGACAAGGTCGTAATTTTATGTGGCATAATTGCACGATTTTCACTACTGCTCGATCGCCGGCTGGATGCACAACGATCACGCGCCAGCCAAAGGTAACACCATTCTGGTGACCATTACACTGTACATTTGCCGAATATTTGCGAAGCACGGAAACATAGCCTTCAACGAAATCGCGGAGACACTGAACGATTCAGCACACCGATTGATTGTCGAATTGAGGAGGGAGGTAACGCGTCCTGAGGTGCCTGAGAAGAAGGTAGCCTTTTTATTTCCGCCTTCTTTGTATTAGGCGTGTTAGGCGGTCACGACAAGTCATCTCCATCCTTCCAGCAGACGGTCTGGTGAGCATGTCCGTTAATGGCGATAGGTGTGTTATCTCTGCTGGTCGTTATCATCAGTCAGGTGCATCACTCTGCATTTGGCGGTCTCATGTTTTGTTCTCTCTTCCTTCCCTACTTCCTTTTTGGGTAATGTCCCGCAGTGAAAATCGTTCGGCATGGACGACCGTCCTAATATTGTGATCGACAGCGGATCCAGTACGATGAAGGTGAGAAACATAATGGCTTGGAGGCTAGTGTTACTATTCAGCTGGTGGTTTGGGGGTCACCTCTCTCTCGAAGGGAAGTTGGAGGGGAACTTGAATCTTCTAAAGTCGAGATTTCTGTCTAATGAACTGTGAACCTTATTTTCCAGGCCGGATTCGCTGGAGATGATGCGCCGTGTGATGTGTTTCCAAGCGTTTTTGCCATGGATCCTAGTGGTGCTATTGACATCCGAGGCAACAAGACTTACTTTGGCGATGAAGCGCTGTGCAAGCGTGAAACTCTGACGCTGCAGTATCCTATTGAGCGCGGTGAGATTAATGTTGTCGCATCTGAATGGAATGCGCACAAACTTTATTTATTTTCTCGCTTTGTGACATACGCTGCGCATTTTTTACTTTCCAGGTGTTGTGACGAACTGGGACAACATGGAAAAAATCTGGCACCACACCTTCTACAATAAGCTGCGTGTCGCTCCAGAGGAACACTCGGTGCTTTTGACTGAATCTCCTCTGAATCCCAAGGCAGACCGCGAGAAGATGACCCAAATTATGTTCGAGACTTTCAACGTTCCGGCTATGTATGTCACCAGTGCGGCTGTGCTCTCCCTGCACGCCAGCGGTCGTACCACTGGTAAGTCATGTTATTTTTTTCTCCGCGCAGCTGCATTCCACTGGTAGGTTTTGGCTTGTTTCTCCGCGCAGTCGCATTTGCAATGTGTTTTTCTTGTTAATCCCCTCTTTCGTTTCAGGTATTGTTCTGGACTCCGGTGATGGCGTGACCCACAGTGTTCCCATCTTCGATGGTTACGCTCTGCCGAACGGAATTCTTAGTTTGGATCTTGCCGGTCGCGACTTGACTGAGTACATGGCTTCGATCTTGAAAGAGAGGGGTTACGTCTTCACCACACCTACCGAACTGGAAATTGTGAGGAATATCAAGGAGAAGCTCGGTTACGTTACTATTGACTTTGAGAAAGAGATGGCTTGGATATTAACCTCATCTGAAGTGGAGAAGAGCTTTGAGCTTCCTGACGGCCAGTTTATTACCGTTGGTTCTGAGCGATGTAGGTGCCCAGAGGTGCTCTTCAACCCAACGACTGTTGGCAAGGAAGGCCCAGGTATCCATGAGATGTGCAACAACAGCATCATGAAGTGTGACGCCGACATTAGGAGGAATCTGTATAATAACATTGTTCTCAGCGGTGGTACTACTTTGTTCTCTGGATTTGACGCTCGCATGACGAAGGAAATCACTGCGCTTGCTCCCAGCAACACGAAGATCAAGGTGATCGCTACACCCGAACGGAAGAACAGTGCTTGGATTGGTGGATCCATTATTGCATCTCTCGACGGCTTCCAGACGGTATATTTTTTTTTTTCTGCATTTTCCTTGTTGCTTTATGCCTTTTTTTGTTCTTTCAGCTGACTTACCTTTGGTGTCACGCAGGTTTGTATCGGCAAGAGCGAGTATGATGACCTTGGTCCAGGCGCCGTTTGCTTGAAGTGCTTCTAGTTGGTATGAGGGAGCATGGGTGCTGTATAGGGCCCAAAATATCAGGGTAATATGTCAGTTCTGCCCTTTTTACAGGCTGCTTTTATCATATCTAGCCTGATCCAGGCAGTGTTAACACATCGCTACCTTTTATTTAAAAATGGTTCATTTTTAAAGCGACGGTGCACATTTGCCACCCAAAACCCAGAACCCTGGCGAACTGTTACTGCAGATGAAAAGTGTCTGCACGAAATCCTGGTTTTCGCCAGCCAACACTTTCGCGCTGGCAAGCCTGGTTCAAAAAAAAAACTTCTGAACCCAACACTGCCAAAAGTTGCCCGTCGCTTTAACCCTGTGAAAAGTTACCGTAGTGTTTGGAAAAATTACCCTTTTCACAAGGTGTAAAGCAAGGCCTACAGTCTACTTGTCAAATGTTATTATAGGCTACAGTGAGTAGCACACTAGGGAGCAAAAATGTTTTAGGGCTGCTTTTGTACCGTAACTCCCTCGACACTAGTCTCACCATTCCGTTGCTCTAACTCTTAAAACCCGCAGCCTGAATGACAAAAGCGAGTCAACGCTTGGTTTGGGTTTGGTTGGGGGTCAAGCAAACTGTGGTTCGGAAGTTTTACGAAAGTTGCACCCTAGCGAAAACAATATGCGACAACCTGGGCTGCGTTCGGCGGCCGCATCAGAGCCTGATGCGCCCTAGGCTCGGCAAATTGACAAATTGAAAAATTGAGGCTCGGTAATGTCCAAATTGAAATTGGAAAATGGAGGTTCGGAAAATGGACACGCAGGTTCGGGAAATCGGAAATTGGGGATGTCGAATTTCGGGCATGTCAAATTTCGACCCCAAAATTCCGACGGATTCCAGGGTGGTTAGAGCTTTCATCGAAGTGGGGAAGAACGCACCTGGCGCCTTCCCCACATGCATGATGCGCTGTTCAATTGCCCCAATTCGAGCTGATGCGCGCATCATGCGTGTTTAGGGCGTTGCATCATGCGCGCATCAAGGATGCGTCAAATTGCTAGAACACTGAATTTCCTGGAAAGCGGCGACATGCAAATTTGTGGTTGCCAAAAAGACCGTTCTGCAGGCATTCGGGCTTGGTCTGCCTCGGCAGCCAAGCGCTTATCACGAACCTTGATAGCCTTTCGGCTGGTTATCACGGAAGGCTCCTGGAACATCGAAAAAAATGTGCAATGTACATTGGTGCGGGCTAATGCGGCCGCCGAACGCAGCCCTGGTGTCGCACCAAGCAAACGACTCAGATGGGAATGCGCCTTCCTATGCTGTATGAGAGTGAGCAAAAGCACCTTGACATACCTTACACTAGGTTAGAAGCTACGGTAATACTTAGACTAGAAATAGGAAAACGAGCTCCATGCGACTAGAACGACGGCATACCATCCGCATTTCCCCTATACATCGCACGCAGGTTCAAGCCCCAACGCCCACAATTTTAGGGTTACAGCGCATGCAGTTCATCCGGCGGCGCACGCATTTAGCCTTCCCGTCGCCCGCATCTAGCATTTTCGTGAGCGAGAACGTGCCATTTCCGTAGCGCTAATATCCCATACCCGTCACACGCAGGTCCCGTTCTACCCGCCCGCATTTCCCCCACGATTCGCGACCGCGACGCCCCTTCGCTTCACCCACATTTCCGCGTCGATTCAGTCGCATTTCCTCTACGATGCGCGAACTACAGGCGATCCCATCGCCATAATTTCGCCAGCCCGTCGACTGCAGATCCCCTTCTCGTCGGCCGCCTTACCCTTTCCCACAGCGCCCCCATACACTCTCCCTTTTCTCGTCGCCCTCCCTTCCGCACGTTGCCTTCCTTTCCGCCTGCCGCCCTTCCTTCCCCTCGTCGCGCTCCCTTCCGCCCGTTGCCCCCCTTCGTCTCGTCGCCCTCCCTGCCGCTCGTCGCCCTCGCTCCCGCTCATCCCCTCGCAATCCCTGTCGCCCTCCCTTCCACTCGTCGTTGCCCTCGCCATCCCGCCCTGCGCCCTTCCCATCGCGCACACTTGTCACGCCCCCTTTCCAACCCGCACATACACCCTTCCCTTCTTCCCAGTTTCCCCGTATCCCCTGCGTTGCTTCCCCCCATCCTCCGACTTGTTCCCCCCATCCCCTTCCCTGCTTCCCCCCATCCCCTTCCCTACTCCCCCCATTCCCCTTCCTTGCTCCCCCCCATCCCCTTCCCTGCTTTCCCCCAACCCCTTCCCTGCTTCCCCCCAACCCCTTCCCTGCTTTCCCCCAACCCCTTCCTTGCTCCCCCCCATCCCTTTCCCTGCTTCCCCCGATTCCCTTCCCTGCTTCCCCCCATCCCCTTCCCTGCTTCCCCCCAACCCCTTTACTGCCCCCCCCTTCCCCTTTCAGCATCCCCCATCCCCTTCCCTGCATCCCCCCAACCCCTTCCCTGCTTCCCCCCAACCCCTTCCCTGCTTCCCCCCAACCCCTTCCCTGCTTCCCACCAACCCCTTCCCTGCTCCCCCCCATCCCCTTCCCTGCTTCCCCCCATCCCCTTCCCTGCTTCCCCCCATTCCCTTCCCTGCTTTCCCCCATCCCCTTCCCTACTTCCCCCCAACCCCTTCCCTGCTCCCCCCCCATCCCCCTTTCAGCATCCCCCCATCCCCTTCCCTGCATCCCCCCAACCCCTTCCCTGCTTCCCCCCAACCCCTTCCCTGCTTCCCCCCAACCCCTTCCCTGCTTCCCCCCAACCCCTTCCCTCCTCCCCCCATCCCCTTCCCTGCTTCCCCCCATCCCCTTCCCTGCTTCCCCCCATTCCCTTCCCTGCTTTCCCCTATCCCCTTCCCTGCTTCCCCCCAACCCCTTCCCTGCTTCCCCCCAACCCCTTCCCTGCTTCCTCTCTTCCCCTCTGCTCAATCTGTTCCCCGATGCTTCTTCTCTTCCCTTCTGCTCATTCCGTTTACTGTCTTTCCCCATTCACTCACCCCCATATCCCCCAATGCAGTTACAGGTGCCCTGCACCAGATGTGGCTTTACCACAGCCTGGTTTATTGCTTGCAGTGTCGCAGACAAAACCGGGAAGCAACATTACACACACACCCTTTAGCATTGTTCTTTTCTCGAGTTGAGTGATTCCCCTTGCTTTACAGATAAGGTAACATATTTTTTGTTGTACTCCTTGGTATTGGTCATGTGTATGACTGCTCTGAGGCTCATAACGCTGTATTATATAAAAAAAGTTCCAATACATGGCATGGCACATACGTTGTGTTATTATCAGACAGCCAGCCCATCACAACCAGATGCAGAGCGGACCTGTCCAAACACAAACCAAGAAGTCAGATGTGACGTGGATGAAGTATAAGGGAGCACGAAAAAGAATAACTGGCAAATGAGGAAGGGAGGAATGAAGGGAGGAAGTGAGGAATGCAGGAATTAAGGAAGGGAGGATCGGGTAAGGAGAGGATTGGGTAAGGAGAGGATCGGGTAAGGGGAGGATCGGGTAAGGAGGGGATCGGGTAAGGGGAGGATCGGGTAATGAGAGGATCGGGTAAGGAGAGGATCGGGTAAGGAGAGGATCGGGTAAGGAGAGGATCGGGTAAGGGGAGGTTCGGGTAAGGAGAGGGTCGGGTAAGGAGAGGATCGGGTAAGGAGAGGATCGGGTAAGGGGAGGATCGGATAAGGAGAGGATCGGGTAAGGAGAGGATCGGGTAAGGAGAGGATCGGGTAAAGAGAGGATCGTTTAAGGAGAGGATCGGGTAAGGAGAGGATCGGGTGGGGAGAGGAGAGGATGGGGAGAGGACGGATGGGGAAAGGACGGATGGGGAGAGGAGGGATGGTAAGAGGAGGGATGGGGAGAGGAGGGATGGGGAGAGGAGAGATGGGGAGAAGAAGGATGGTAAGAGGACGGATGGGGAGAGGAGAGATGGGGAGGTGAGGGTTGGGAAAGTGAGGGATGGGGAGAGGAGGGATGGTTCGGGAGTATGGAGAGGAGGGGTGTGCGCAAAGCTGAGCACAGCACAGCAACGCAGAGCCTCAGAGCAGCGCAGTGCACCTCATCTCGCGTAGCTCTGCACAGCAGAGCAGAGCATCGCACGTCGCAGCACTGCAGAGCTGAACAGAGCACAGAACCGCACCGCACACAACCGCACAGCAGAGCATGTTGTGTTGTGGCTCACCTGTAGCACGAGCACAACCGCAGCTGTAGAACGCGCTTCCGGTTGCCCCTGCAGAAGAGGGTGTGGGGGCGGGAAGGGGGAAACAGGGGAGGGGGGGGATGGGGAAGAATAGGATCGAGGTTATGGAGGGAAAAAAGGGAGAGGGCGATCGGGAAGGGAATTAGGGGGAACGTGTTGAGACGTAATGGAGTGGGGCGGAAAGGGGTGAGGAGGAGATGGGGTGGGGCGGACTGGGGTGGGGCGGAATAGGGTGAGGCGGAATGGGGTGGGGCGGAATGGGGTGGGGCGGAGTGGGGTGGGGCGGAGTGGGGTGGGGCGGAGTGGGGTGGGGCGGAAATGGTGCCTCCCACGGTGTCGTGGCCCCCGACTCAGCACGAAGACTCGCCCCCTCTCCCCCACCTCGCGTCCACCCCATCTCTGAGTGCAGGGGATGGGATGGGGTTGACGGGGAAGAGGCGGGGATGGTGACGCGGGGAGGGGCACATAGCGCAGGTTTCCGCATCATTTACAGCAACAGCATCAAGGATGGGGAGGTGAGGGATGGGGAAGAGATGGATGGGGAGGTGAGGGATGGGGAACAGAGGGATGGGGAGGTGAGGGATGGGGAAGAGAGGGATGGGAAGAGAGGGATGGGGAGGTGAGGGATGTGGAAGAGAGGGATGGGGAGGTGAGGGATGGGGAAGAGAGGGATGGGGAGGTGAGGGATGGGGAAGAGAGGGATGGGGAGGTGAGGGATGGGGAAGAGAGGGATGGGGAAGAGAGGGATGGGGAGGTGAGGGATGGGGAGGTGAGGGATGGGGAGGTGAGGGATGGGGAAGAGAGGGATGGGGAGGTGAGGGATGGGGAGGTGAGGGATGGGGAGGAGAGGGATGGGGAGGTGAGGGATGGGGAGGTGAGGGATGGGGAGGTGAGGGATGGGGAGGTGAGGGATGGGGAGGTGAGGGATGGGGAGGTGAGGGATGGGGAGGTGAGGGATGGGGAGGTGAGGGATGGGGAGGTGAGGGATGGGGAGGTGAGGGATGGGGAGGTGAGGGATGGGGAGGTGAGGGATGGGGAGGTGAGGGATGGGGAAGAGAGGGATGGGAAGATGAGGGATGGGGAGGTGAGGGATGGGGAAGAGAGGGATGGGGAGGTGAGGGATGGGGAGGTGAGGGATGGGGAGGAGAGGGATGGGGAGGTGAAGGATGGGGAGGTGAGGGATGGGAAGATGAGGGATGGGGAGGTGAGGGATGGGGAGGAGAGGGATGGGGAGGTGAGGGATGGGGAGGTGAGGGATGGGGAGGTGAGGGATGGGGAGGTGAGGGATGGGGAGGTGAGGGATGGGGAGGTGAGGGATGGGGAGGTGAGGGATGGGGAGGTGAGGGATGGGGAGGTGAGGGATGGGGAGGTGAGGGATGGGGAGGTGAGGGATGGGGAGGTGAGGGATGGGGAGGTGAGGGATGGGGAGGTGAGGGATGGGGAGGAGAGGGATGGGGAGGTGAAGGATGGGGAGGTGAGGGATGGGGAGGAAATGAGCGTGGGCGACGGGAAGGTCTTGCGCGTGGGCAACGGAAGGAGTGCGCGTGGGCGGTGGGAACGGAGTGCGCGTGGGTGGCGGGAACGGAGTGCGCGTGGGTGGCGGGAACGGAGTGCGCGTGGGTGGCGGGAACGGAGTGCGCGTGGGTGGCGGGAACGGAGTGCGCGTGGGTGGCGGGAACGGAGTGCGCGTGGGTGGCGGGAACGGAGTGCGCGTGGGTGGCGGGAACGGAGTGCGTGTGGGCGAGGGAAGGGAGTGTACGTGTTCGGTCTCAGGAAGTGCGCGTGGGCGATGGGAAGGAATTTGTACTCCGCGACGGAGGGAGGCGAGCGTGCGCGACAATGGGGATTGCGCGAATGAGACGAGAGGAAAAGCGTGCTCGTTCGAGCAAGGAAGCGTGAGCGATGGAGGGGAGTGCGTGTGTGGGACGGAAGGGAATCGAGTGTGGACGACGGGGAGAAGACGCAAATGCGACGAAGTAGTTGGATAAAATCTTAGAAACGCGGACAGAGAGGACGCCTCGGAGACATCGATGCGGTAAGCGATGGGGGGGTGCAACTAGGGCGACGATGGGCATATGTGCATCCATGGGCATGGCTAGCTATGGCGAGTGAAAACGCGACCTAGAATCACGGAAATATATTTCTCCGGATTGCTCAAGAATGGAGCAATAGTCCTAACAAGTAAGACGGAAATAAGATATCTGGGGCTGGAATGGGGTTGGAGCCTAGCTGTTCTAAGCTATGGCTGCAGCTCTAGCTGCTCAGACTAGGCAGTTTCGAACCTGAATTACAGATTTCCAGCTTGGTGTAAACACCACAGCCCGAGCGGTGGCGGGAACCGAGCGACCCTTCCCTGTGCTGTATGCAACTTCTTTCTCGTTTTGCAGGTGAAAACCTGGTAACCACCTCGGTTCGGGAGGGAGAGTGTTAACACCTCCCAACTTTTTTTGTAATTCAGGCTGCGGGTTTTAAGATGGTATCGAGTAGGTTTCGTTCCTAGCTCCCCGCCCTAGCTTAGCACCTACGCGCCCTCCGTTACGCGCCCTCGCGCCCTCCGCGCCTTAGCGCCCTCCGCGCCCCCCGCGCTCTCCGCGCACTACGCGCCCTCCGCGCCCTCGTCGCGCTTAGCTCACGGCTCCCGCCCTCCTAGCCCGTTGCCACTGTCGCGCCCTCCTCCCGTCCGTTTTCACCGTCAAAAACGGCCTCCCCGCCCCTTCCCCACAGTCGCGACCTCTGCCCCGCCCCTTCCCACCGTCGCGACCTCCTCCCCGCCCATTTCCCACCATCGCGACCTCCTCCCCGCCCATTTCCCACCGTCGCGACCTCCTCCCCGCCCTTTCCCCACCGCCACGACCTCCTCCCCACTCATTTCCTACCGTCGCGACCTCCTGCCCGCCCATTTCTCACCGTCACGACCTCCTCCCCGCCCTTTCCCCACCGTCGCGACCTCCTCCCCACCCATTTCCTACCGTCACAAACTCCTCCCCGCCCTTTCCCCACTGTCGCGACCTCTTCCCCGCCCTTTCCCCACCGTCGCGACCTCCTCCCCACCCATTTCCTACCGTCGCGACCTCCTCTCCACCCATTTCCTACCACTGCCTGGTGCGCGGGGCGCTCCCTGGCTCTACTGACATTGGTCTATCACTCAGCGGCTGGCAGCCACTTTCTCTCGCCGGCCGCTTAGGTTAGCGCAGTTTAGCCACTAGTACCTCGCCCCTAGCGCTTGTAGCTGGAGATCCACCGTTTCACGCCTAGACATGAATACAGAATTTCCTCCCCTTGATTGGGTACATGCCTGGCTCAGCGGGCGCCGCACTCGGGCCTGGCCCTCGGGCTCTGCAGCAGCTTGCCGGGGGTTCATTTCTAAGGACCCTGCTGGAACCTTTTCTTCGCCGTGGCCACTGCCAGAAGCCGCAGGAACTGGATTGTGTCGGTGGCTAAGGCCCCATAAGTCTCTACCGCTAGGCCAAAGAAACCCACATAGTCTGGCTGCCCCTCGTACAACCTGTGCTTCTTCTCGGAAGCTTCACTGGCCGCCCACCCCGGTGACTTCCTTGCCCTCGGGTCCCTCTTCTTCAGGACCGGGTCCGTGACGGTTACATCTGTGACCCATGTTTCAGCTGATTCATTGTCTTGGAACGCTAGGTCCGCCCGCTTGCGAAGCACCGGAGGCGAATAAACCGATGTCTCGTGGAAAGTATTGAAGCCTGCCTCACGGCACATCCGCAGCGCCGAATAGACCAGTGCATTGTGGGTCCTCACCACGTCTCCCCCCTCCCCACACCGTAGCAAGTGATTCGGTAGGCTGCAGTCGTTGATGTCCGCATTGTCTCGCTTGCAGGGGCACTTAGCAGTCACCGGTAGGGGCATCCCGAGGCGGAAACCGAGTGCTAGCGAGAACTGACCAGGGGCAAATGTAAGGTCAGATCTCGTCGGCACTGCGTATAACCAGTCCCCCGCCCCGGTTCCCCGGTTCCCTGCTCCTCCCCTGGCTTATCTACCATGGTATCTACCAGCAGCTCCCTAGCCCGCGTCGTGTTGATGTGTTTGGACAGCAGCAGCTGCAAATTCCCCTGCCCTGGGGCTCAACCCCTGTAGGCCTGCAGTGCCGCCAGTGCCTCCGCCGGCAGCCCTGCCTCCAGTACCGCCAACACATTCGCATCGGGTGGGGGCTGGAGAGCAATAACCTTGCCCGCGCCAGCAGGTCCTCTTCAGACAGGTTCATCTGCTGCAGAAGGTGGTGCGCTGCTGTGAGTGAGGCGATGTGCGCTGCCGGCGCCTCGGATGTGGGGTCGATGATGCTGAGGCCTCCAAGCCGAATTGGGAGCGTCGCCTGACGCCAAAGCAGGCTCTGCTCCAACTCCGTTGAAGGAACCCTGAGCTTAGCGGCTACGAGTGCTGCGCCTAGAAGCGATTCACTCCAAGCCCTCCATTCCTCTCTATCCAAAACGTCAGCCGGCGTCGTGCGGAGAAGGTAAGATATCCTGCGCGAGATGCTGCGGCTGAGTAGGAGGAGGGCGTGTTGTGGGTGCAGCTGCGCGATCAGTGGGACCGGGCCTATCGCTTTGATGAGGTCGTCTCGGACCTGAGAGGTGCATCGCGAACGTCCGTCGTGCTGAATCTGTCAAGCGAAATGTCGGAAAAAACTGACAAGTACAGTGCGAGAGCACTCCTCCCCCCACCTTGATGATAGGGTTGCCTATCAAAATTGTACAGCTGCGCGGGTAGAATCTGTTAGAGAATAAGGACTGAGTCTACGAAGATTAGGTGCCCAAATAACTCAAAATCGTTGGCTTAGAATTCTGGACAGAAACCGCGACTTCACAAGAAACGTCGTCGGCTAAAATTGCACCGTTAGAATTGTCTCAAACTCGAGTATGTTGTAGCCTGTAACCAGGGCTATCTTTCCCAATTTGAATCGTATCAAATGGTGGAGTAAATCTCGAGTTATGATTTTCGGCGCACTAGGGGGTAAGCTGCCACAAGCTTAACTCAATCATAATAGTTTCACAAGTTTAACAAAGTTCCACAAAGAGCATTAGAGTAGCACTAAACCAGATAGGAGGGAAGAGGAGGACGAGAGGGAAGGTCCCAAGGGAGTCCCCAACCAAGGAAACCCCATGCCACACAATTTCTTACACACAATTTCCCTCTCCATAGGCAACCCCACTTTCACATTTGTCACTTTCCCAACTCATGCCATCCACCTCAACCCACTTGGCCACACTTGCCAACCTGGTTTGGCTTCTCCCAACCACATGGCAGCAATCTACAGTGATGGGTTCGAATGTCCCAACCCCAAAAGTCTGTACCCCATATTGAGTCACTCTCACAACTTCCCATAGTCGCCACAACCGAATTTCAAGAGCATACGAACTTCAACCGTTCGTAACTTCCTCGTTCGTGCTCCGATTGAAGCGATCCTTGGCTCGTCGGAAAGCACCTGAGCAGAGCTGTCACTTCAGATATCTGCCCAAGCCAAATATCATCCACACACACTCAGGAAATCCAAACCGCACAAAAAACACAAACTCTTGCACACGCTCACACCACGCATGCAACACACGAACACATGATGGGAGGCAGACAGACGTGAATGCGAATGATAGCATCACACAACAGAATCTTCAACCTGCTTGTCTGCCGGGGGTAGTCCGGACTACCAAGTGTTATGAACCCCCCGCTGATTTTATAGCAGCTGCCTGTCGAAAATGTAGTCGGTGGCGAAAATGTCGAAATTTTGACTCGTACTGCTTGCAGGGAAAACCGCGTCGAAGTCTCTTGAGTAGGTAAAATCGTTGCGCACTGAGACTCGATACCTTTGGAAATTAACTTTCCTGCAAAAACATTCTTCTTGTCTTGCAGTCGTGACTGCTGCTACAGTATCAAATCATGAATCTCCTGTTGTCAGCTGCTGCAATCCCGAAATTGCTGCCGTTTGGCTTGTTTCTGTGGCAAAGATCTTCGATGTAACTGTTCCAACTATCGGCACCTCCGGCAGTCTTGTCGTAAATCGCTGAGGTTTTTGTCGTGGCTCTCCGAAAACTCTCTGGCAGAGGCGAAAAACAGCTGCTGCTCTTCCCCCTGAACTCGCAAACATTTTTTCAAGGTCGAACTCGAATTTCCGATGACGCCAGCTGCATTCTCGGTGTTGTCGTGACTTGCCGAAAAACCCCCGGCCAGGGGCGAAAAACAGCTGTCGTCCCCTCCCTCCATCTGTTGCAAAGTTGGTTCGATGATGTCGCTGGTGTCAAATGTTGTAGCCTGTAGTGAGGTTTGTCTTAGGGGGTACACATGTTAGGGTTTGCTACTTGTACCCCAACCAACATCAATGAACCAACACTTTCGATTCTAACATGATATCAGAGCGTGCGCCCAGAGGGTCTCGCCTGACTGGACCTGACTCTCTAACTGACGGCGAGCGCGCATAAGCCAGAGTGAAAAGTCAAGGGGTCTACCGTCAGCGTCGAAACGAAGAACACGCGGAGTCGCCATAGTTGAAACTGACGGAAAAGCGGAGGCAGATGGAAAACCCTAAACGAGGTGGCGTGGCGAAACTCGGTGGCGTGGCGGCCAGCGCGGCACACAAGCACGCAGGGAGAAAGGGAGGCACGGGCGCAGCGGGCGAGCGGGCGAAGGGACGCGCGGGCTGACGGATAGGCCTGGCGCGACGCGACTGGCGGGCGCGGGGGGGACGGCGTGACGCGACGAGCAGCGGGGGGCGACGCGACGCGACGGGCAGCGGGCGGGCGACGCGGGCCGGCGAGCAAGGGGGGGGGGGGGGGGGGGGGGGGGGACGCGACGTGACGGACAGCGGACGGGTGACGCAAAGCGACGAGCAGCGGGGTGGGGGGGGGG